CTTATCAGGCAGTCCCAGGGTTAGAAAAACAGTTATCAAAACAAAGTCACACAGAGAGAAAAACAAAATCTTAAATGATCCTGTCAAGTAAAATGTGATTTCCCTAATACGTAATCTTTGTTTTTATAAATAATACTCAGATTGTTACACTATACACACAAACACTCAAACGAATGTGTGTAAAAAGTTAGAAAGTATGTCTGGATTATCGGTTTCAGCATGCCTAAAAATGGCACAGCACATTCGATCATGTTCTCTTTCTCTGTCCTCTTACAAGGCCCAGGATTCCTACTTCAAGTCAAATATGGGGAAACGCCACAATAAAATGCACGCAGTCTTTTCTACCTGTGCCTGTACTGATATAAGAACACTGGGGTGACTAATTACCGGTGGGGAGCGTTTGGTCCTTACAGTCCAATCACACGTTTTTAAAGCCAAATATTGACACATAAGTTTTGGGTTTTTTCTTTGTTTGTTTGTTTTTTGCCTCTTCCTCTCCCTCTCAAACTCATGGTCTGTTTTCTTTTTAATTATTATTGAACATGAGTGTGTATGTGTAGGTATGCATGTGTGTGTGTGTGTGTGTGTGTGTGTGTGTGCATGTGTGTGTGTATGTGTGCATGTATGTGTGTAGGGATGGCATTTAAGACTGGATAATCTATCAGGGGATTATCTGTAGACAAGATTGACTTTCCCCCTCACTCAGCAGCCATCAATAGTGTATAGCTCTTCTTCCACGTGTTGTCAGTGTGCTAGTCTTATCTAGTAAGACTAAATCACAGCCACACCATTGTAAATGTATGGGTGCAGGCCACCTGTCATATATGGAAGATACCACCAACAGATATCCTGGTTTGCTGCTGTTACAGTCTTTCTAGCACCTTTCTTCCAATGTTCTCTGAGCCGTACACATAGTACTACGTTAACAGAAGCACCCAGTGGAGCTAGCTGGCCCCCTAAAATCGGCCCGCTCCCTTTTGCCCAGTCGTGGCTCCCTGTACTCATCTCCTTATGCTTAAGAACAAGGTTCTCCGACAAGGGCTGAGATGCATTACCTGTGGTGCAAGGCTACCCTTTTAGAACGCAGTTAGGTATTACACTGGTCTAGAAATGTGGCAACAGCAGGTTCTCCTCCAGGGTGCATGACCTCCGATCACAGGCCCTGGCTGGGTATAGGGTAAAGGGAAGAATTTCCTTCTACTGAGCAGGCAGGAAGTCCAACTGGCCAGCCATTGGTTACCAGCGCCAAGCTCCAAAATATAAATGGCATTATTGTACCTTTGGCTACACTGACATGGTTCACAGGCTTTACAGCAGAGTAGAACTATTCTTTTTTTTTTTTTTTTTTTTCTCCTTGAAAGCTTGCAAAGCACCTTCAGATACTATGAGGGCGAATCCTCAGAAAGGAAGCTTCCAAGTCAATGCAGGCTCTATCCTTTCAAGTCCTGTGTCTGAAGTATGTGCTCTCTTCAGCAAGAAGGACTTGCCTTCAAGTTCTGGAGAAAACCAGGGGCAATAGCAATAGCCTTTTTTTTTTTCTTGGATTTATGTTTTGAAAGCTTCTTCCGTGTTTACTTTTTCTTTCCCTACTGTGTTGGGGGAGTGAAGCCAAGATTTTGTGTATGTTAGGCAGACACACTACCACTGAGATATATCCCCAAATCCACTCTATTTGCTACAGAATTTCTAAAACCAACAGTCTTACGCTCTACTATGTTTAGGCCACTCAAACTCAACGCTTGCTGTATAGACAAAGCTGACCTCAAACCTGGATTTACCCCCTTTCCTCTGCCTCCTCCTGGGATTGCAGATGTACACCACCATGCCCGCCCAACGCTTTGTAATTTAAGTTCAGCTGGCAATGTTTCATTCTTTCTCTTGTTATATGATAACAATAAACTCTTTTCTTTATAAGATTGCCAATGGTTTTCACACCATGACTGTAGAACTGCTGTTTCCACTCCAAAAGAAAACATGTATTCAATCATGTAAAGTCACTAAGGAATGAGGACACTAACAAACCCTACTAGTTAAAAGTACTAACTAGTATCTTTTTAATTCTGTGTTTTTATCACTCATATACATGACTTTAAGGTAAAACAATCACAAAGGCACCAAAGGCCTCTGCTCTGCTGATACACAGCCACTGCTTTTCAGGCCACCTGTATAGTCTCATACACTAACAGCATTAAATTCACCTACTTGTGCTACAAGATCCCTGGAGACTTAAAACTTTTCTATTCTAGAAACATTAAAATAAAACAGTGTTTAACACTAAGCTTTTCAGAGGCTCACTCAACAACAAATTCTAAGCATGTATGTGGTAGGAATTTGGTAACTATGTATGTTAGAAGATCACTGAGAAGGATCAAGCCAAAGCAAGGGAAAACACGTTTGCTAAGGAGGTGAGGTGGAATTAAGAGATCATAGTATATGAACCCTTCAGAACCATTCAAGGTCATTATGGGAGAAATACTGTTGTCGAACACCATGACATCAAAGCAAGAACGTGGGTGAGGGATGTGCTCATGATGCTTTTTGCAAGAACATTTTGGGAAGAAAAGAATTATCTCAGAGCCCCCCAAAGAAGACTCCTACTTTTTAATATTTCTATATCTGGTAGGATAGAAAGTAGCTTACTTTGCTAGTCTACTTTTTATTCTTCTTTTCTATCTGGAATACATAAGGTGAAGTACGATGGTCATATTAGATATGAGCCAGCCATCTATGTGGTCTATGCTTCAAATGTTATGAAGGAAATCTGGCTGACTGAATGAATTTGCAAATAAAGCTTTATTAGAAACATAGCCTCACGTACTGATATCACATCTTAATGATATCTGTCTTCACGCCATAGCACCTGGTTGAACTATTAACAACAGAAAGCATACAGCTGTCGGGCTTTAAAACCTTTACCATTTGGCCCTTTTTGGAAAGTTTGTTGCTGCTACAGAATTCAGAATGTCATCTCAGCTGCTACAACATGAACCTGCGTCAGCTGGCCATGGGTCAAAGCTCAGCAAGTTCTGCATAAGAAACGAGGAAGGTCATCTTATAGGATTAATGGGCACCATTAACCAGACTCAAGATGCCCACAGAAGTCCGGCCAGGAGAAGGGTTTCAAATTCTACCTCTGCTTTGAGTCTATCACCTGTCTTCTGACCAGTTACAAGTACATCTTTTAAGTCAAAGAAATATCATCATGTAAAGGAGTTTTTAAAGCATTGCCTGAAAAAAAAAAAAAAAAGTTGGCTTTCTTAGCTCTGTTCATATTGTTACCCAGAAGAAAATGTTACAGCAAGGAAAAAAAAAAAAAAAACACAAAAACCACAATGATTTTCCCCAAGGTTGAAAACTATAAATTTAAAATCATAGTCTCTCCCCTTAGGCAGGTTCTCTAGGAATGGAAAAATCAATGTTTTGATGAAAGAAAATGGAAAATGTTCTAATTATCCGAGAGGTGGCCAAAACGGGTCAGGCTTTCTCCATGTGCCCAGGGCGTAAGCACATCAGGTCTACCAAGTACAACAGACTGTTGCAGCCTAGGCAGGAAGCCTTGGCTACACAGCACCACACGCCAGGGATCCTCCCACTTGTCCTGCGGCATTTCACACTCACACCCGCCCCTCCCTGACCACTTACGCTTTGCAGACAGGAAACACTAGAAAAGATTCGAGCTTATTTTTCTTCTTTCTACTCATGTATAAAAATTACATGCATTTTTATACATGAGTATGGGCCCTGGTTTTGTTATCTAAATATGCATTTTCCAATAATGCTGATGACCGACAAGAAAAAGAAAAAAATTATACAAAGGAAACTAGTTTGTCATCACAGCGTCAAGGGAAAGGAAGGACGTAAAGACCGGTGAGAGCACCGTGGCGTTCTATTCAAAACCTGCTTCTCTCAGGACACATGCTCCACTGCTGGCCAGTTAGATAACCAATACTCAAATGATGTTTGGCTTTAATTTTTAAGAAATATTATTCAAACTCTTACTATGCATCAGATCTGCTTCTAATAAATCTTTGGCCTAAAATTATTTTGGATTAAACCAAGGCTTTGCAGAAATGTCACAGGGGAATAGAAGAGAAAAACAGCAGGACTCACATTAGCTCCTTAAACATGAGAATATTTCCCCCAAAAAATGTATTAATTCTTAAAGAACAATACAGATAATACTTTTAAATCAGAAAGTTGGAGAGCAGAAAAAAGTTTCTAATTAAAAATGTTCCTTATCCCCAAAGATTTCATTGTACCATATACTGGAAAATAGAAAAATTGTATATGTAAACATCTGAAATGGCAAATCTGTGCAAAACTATACTTAAGGGCTCTGACTTTTTGAGACACATAAAAGTTAAAACTTTATGATTAAAAGATAAGAATGTCAAAGAAAAGCTGTATTAGTAACATGTGTTGAAAATATAAAATAGATATCAAAATGCTTCACATAAAATAAAAAACCCTGACTTATAGTTTGTTCACATCCAAAAAGAAAACAGGATAATAGATCAATAGCAGCACAGAGCTTAATCTTAACTGATGATGCTCTTCTCCCTAAGTACAGCAAGCACTGTGCCCGCAAACAGAACACTGCTCTAAGTGTCTCCGCCAGTGTGGGCTGCCTGAAAACCCAGCCTGCGGGGCTCTGCTCTGATGGAGTGGGGCACCAGAAAGGACATGTGATTATCAAGTTAGAAACTAACATTCAGAAGGGGGAAGTGAACGTGTAACTGGAAGTTTTAATTCCAACAAGAATTAATTTAATTCCAAACCCGAAGCGGTTATTCCAAACCTTACTGCAGGACTGAACTTCTTATACCTATGCGCCTAGGGTACAGCATTCAAAGTACTGAAAATCCCTTTAAGAAAAAAAAAGTACCTTGGGAGTTGGGTACAAAAATAAATAAATAAATAAATAAATTGGCAGATTTAGTATGCATAAGCTTGAATTTACCCAAATAGCTACTTAGTAAGTAAAATGTATCAATCCTTACCCTTGAGGTGAGAGTTTATCCAGCCATCCAGATTTAACCTTTGCTGCGGAAGATCCATAGAAGCAGGCATAGGGAGAGATGGCATTTGAGATGGCTGATGAATCAGTATTTCCACTTGTGGAGCTTAAAGGATAACTGTGTCTATTAAAAGGGTCCAGGTAGAAGGCTTTTTGAGTCCTAGACTTAGATGCTTTTGAATTTTTTCTTCTTAGGCTCTGGAAGCATTCCTCCACTGTTGAGTACTCTGACTCAGAAGCTGAGTCCTTGGGAGGGTTATTTTTATCCTCTCGGAGTATCCAAATGTCTTCTCCTTTGTCTTCACTCACTTCTTCCTTCCTGTTATCATATATGCTAAAGAGAAAAGAATGGTAATCAAATTCAAAATGATATGGTTAATTTAATCTGTCAGTTAGATCTTTAAAACTTATACACCAACCAACCACAAAAGTTGAGGCTAAAAGGTCTTCACTGCACAATTAATTCAGCTTGTAATTTTAAAACCTTTCTCAGGGACCTGGCACCCAACTATGAAAATCTGAGTTTAGATCCATTTAACCCATTAAGAAGCCACTTAAGCCATATAAAACCAGGAATAGAGATGATGTGTGTCCATTATCTCAGGACCGGAGAGGCGGTGACTGAAGGAACCCAGGGGCTTACTGCCAGCCAGTCTAGACAATCGGAGAACACCAGGTTAACAGAGACACCGTCTTTCACAGTGCAAAGCTAAGCTGTAGAACAGTTGAGGAAGACATCTAACCTTGACCTCTGGCCTCTATAATCCGTGCAGACCTACACACAGGTGAAAACAAACGAACTTGTTGTGTCCAGATGCATGTGTGTGTGCATGACACATCTTCTCCAGAAAAAAATTCCAGTAGAAACATTCTATCATCCTAGGATATATGTGGGCACTGTAAAAGCCCTATGTATAATTTAATCATATTCTGCCCTCACGAAGGTTAAGTGCAAGTAACAATGAATAAAATCCTTTCATCAAGCTTTAAACTTCATAAAGAGCACACAATTAATGTCCTCCTCAATTTCTAGTCTCCAGGCAACACATTGAACTACTTAAAGACCTTACTTCATACTGGCCTACCTGTCCAGCATATTTGAAGGGCTCCAGGGTCCACCTTACCATAAGACAGCAGAGAACAAAGCTGACAGCTCAGTACTGTGTTACAGTGCTACTGAGGAAAAGCACATTGCCAGCCAACAACCAAGCAAAGGTTAGCATATTTCCCAAGCTGAAAGCTGGGCTGAATGTAATGTTCCCTAGAATGCACTCATAACAGCTAGGCATATTCCTATATATTTCAAGAATGAAACAATAAGTTTACTCATTTTATTAAACACCATTACAAAGAAGTTTTTACCAATCAATGAGACGGAATGCAGGTCACATACATCTCTGTGAGTACAGTGTTCTAAAAGCTGAAACTTAGAGATGCATGCAACATAGCTCTTTTTCATTTCCTATCGTAATTATCACTTATGAGGACGCATCATTTATTTTCCACTCAAGTAAATCCACAACAGTATTAGTTTTGGAAAATGAAGGTAGAAAATAATATGAATATGAATAATACTTCAGCATAGTAAGTTCTACTATAATAGAAAGAAAGAAAAATATAACTTTGGGTCTTTCTCTTACATGTTACCAAAATAAATGAGTAGTCCTGCAATCTTCCCAATGGTGAATCTCTAATACAAAGGACACATTACATTTTCATAGTGCTAAGCTCAGTGTCCCTTTTTCCTTTGTACTAGCATATATCCCAACTGAAGAGCAATAACCTAATGGTGACAATATCTGTAAAACATATATTATATATTTGGTGGTACTTAGATTACAGAAACTTTAAATTCAAATATGCACCTAATGTGCATTTTTAAGCAAAATCATGGCAGCTAAAACACTTGAAGACACATATCCCATTTCAATTCATATAAATCTTTTTAACCTTATTCTGGCTTTATGATTTTTTTACGGTGTCCAACCAGACTTGGAAACTAAGTTTAATAAATATCAAATCGATTTTCTAGGGGGAAAAAAGTGAACACAGTCACTGCACACTCACCAAACTCGGTAAGAGTGAATGGACACAGTTAACAGGAGACAAAAATAACCTGCTGCAGATACCACTCAACTTCTAGAACAAAAGTCGCTACCCCGCTTCCATGACAGCTCGGGAACTAAAATGAATACTGTCCAGAAAACATTCAGGCAGGAAAGAAAAGCCTCGGACTTGCCCACGTAAATGAGTAAGAACTGCCAGGTAAATGACTAAGGTAAATAAGTAAAAAGTCGACATCTTGAAGGCTTCTGCTCATTGGCAGACGCAGAGACGCTCACCTTGACCTGGTTAAGATGGGGCTACTTGCAGTGGCCGCTTCCTCTTTAACAGTGTCCTCATGAGGCCAAAACTCATTCTTTATAGATCGCTTCTGTTTAAAAAAACAAAAACAAACAAATAAAAACACATTCACTGTTTTGATTATTGATTTACGTAATTATTTATGGTGTAACCATATTTCACAAAGACCTACAATATTTGAGTTTATTTTTATTAAACAAACTTAACCTTAGATCATTTTTTTCTGTTAAAAACACTGCAAAGGAAAAAAAAAATCAAACAATTTCTGATGTCCTCAGAATTTAATTTAAATTAATTCATTACATTAACTATGAACAAGCAAAATGTTAGCTAACAACATAGCACACACGCTTTGACTCCCCTCTATGACTGTTTAGTTGTGGATTTTAGGTGATTCTGCTTTATCTTATGGAGGGAGGGTATGGATCAGACCCAAGGCCTTGTACATGCCAGACAAGTATTTTGCTATTTTGTTACTTCCTTAGCTGTTTCTAACATGCATTTTTCTCCCATATCTTTTTTTTTTTTTTTTTTATATATATATATCAAGTCGAAGGAATGGACTAGTGAACTGGGGGAAGTAACAGAAACAAAGCTAAATCCTTAACCTAAACGAAATGCACAGACAGAAACTTCCATACTGGAGAAGACTGTCTCCAAGTATAAGGCCAAAGAAAAGTCTAAGGAGGTTCACACTACAGTGATTTTTAATTATTTTAATGTTTGAAGTTCTTCAATGCACTGTTCTGTATTACTGAGATCACAGTAAAAATGTGTCTACATGATTCATAGCTAAAGACACAGATTATCATAATTTAACCAAGCTAAGGTTTTACTGGAAATCTTGTTGTACAGCATCGTTTTAATGACCTATAGGAAAACAAAAAAGCATGGAGAAGCTATAGAACAAATAACTGCTTATGGAAACATAAAAGAAAATGAATGAGACTAACCTTGGAACTTTCTAGTTTCTGGAAGAGAAATGTCTCTCCATAAGGAAAGATGGAAGTTGAATTATCCTCATTTGAATCTTTTGGAGGAATTACAGAATGAGAATGGAAAAGATGAATAATGTGGAATAGTGCAAAAAATAAAGATAAAAGCATTATTTAATTATTTTATAGCAATATCACAACTTAAAGATTATTCTACATGAGTCCAGAATGATACGGCTAACTCCTACCTCCTAAACCAAATCTCCCCAGTCTTCATAATACCTATCACTCACTTGACTTTAAGGTCACTAACTCTGAAGTCAGAACCAGTCACATATCGCCCTAGCAGCCTCCGAGGTCCTCAGGAAGGTAACCAAGAACACGGCCTGTGTACCTCGGGAACCGCCAGGATGCACTTCAGGCTAACTCAGAAAACCAGTAAGATTTTAAGAGGGAGGATCTACACTTTAACACTCAACAAACGACTGTACAGAGTCCATTGATGTAATGGCTGGGAATCACCTAAAACTTGAGAACTCCTGTGACGTAAACCCTCTCAACTACTCACACTACTGCAGAGGAGTAATTTCAAGAGAAGAGCCTCTATCTTTGAACTGTTGTGATCTACAGGAAAGAATCTTTAGCATTTGCATTTCGCCTAGAAAAACTTTTTTTTCAAAAAGTAGAGTAATTATTCATTTGCTATTTTATAGTCAAGAAAAATGTTCTGGAGTCTGTGTAAGCAGATTTGAGAATACCAAAGAGAAAGGTCCAACCAATGATCAGCTTACCAAAATAAGGGGATCAAACTTTTCACCCTAGCAAAGTAATTTTTCATACATAATTATTCTCTAGCTCTGACTACCACAAGCATTTAGTTGAATACCTTTGGCTAATGATAAATGAGGAATATGTTTAAAATATCATTTGCTTGAAGCATGTGCCAATTTTTAGGAGTCCCAGTGCCCTTGTATTACCACTCAGGGATAAACTAATGCAGAGACTCACTTATCAGTGTCGAAGACTTTCCAGCTGAGGTAGCAACACTTCTTCTGTCACGGAAATAGCTTAAAGCAAAAAGAAAAGTCAGGTCATTATAGTGTCTTGGATACAGGATGCATGGAGATATGTACATCCTTCTAAGATTTAGAATTTAAGAAGGAACATCAATATGCAAATGTTGATCTGGCTTCAATTATAAAGGACATATTCCACCAATCTGTTTTTGTATTTAACATTCAAGAGAGAGATTTCATCAGACATTATAAGTCATTTAAATCCCCTCCCTGCAACACACAAAATTTAAATATATATATATTTAATAATATATTTAATAAATATATATATATATACTTTCAAGTATTCATATGTACTCATCTTCAAAACTGTTATATGTCAGAAACAAGCTAATTGAATAGATGTATTTATAAAGTTATTTTGACATTAACTTTATAACATTTTATAAAAAATATGTTCTAAGAACTAATACAAAAATGCTTCTTCTTCAAATCCCTTACAATTTTGAGAGCCAGACATGATATGTACACAACGAGAATGTAGCATGAAAATAGCAATGACAGAAATAGAAGATAACAATGAACAGTATCAAAAATGAAAAGGACCTCTCTACAAAAGCTGAGACCATTACAGAGATATATTAATATGAAAAAGTTTATGTCCAAAGCATTGGTGAACTAGACATTAACCATGTATTTAAATAATTACATCTGAAAAGATTAAATAAAATTTTAGTAGTTCTATTTCTACCAAAAAAGTTTAACTTAGTAATGAGTAATACTCCCACAAAACCTCCAAAAAAAAATTGAACATACAATTAAAAAATAATATCAATCCTAAAAAAATGTACTGAAAAATGGATGATAAATATCTATCCCTCAACTTATCTTGTTAATAAAATATAGATGTTAATCAATTAAAAGCAAATACATAAATATTGCCACGACATAAATTTAATGTCAAGTCTGCCAATCATAAAAAGAATAATATAATCAAATAAAATTTACATCTAAGAAATATTTATTTTACGAGTAAAACAATGTCATAAAAATTAACAATATACTGACAAAATTTAATTAACAAAACATATCCATATATAATAAAAATTGTCACCACCTGGAAGGAAGACTATTAACCTAGAAAGGTCTTTTATGAGAGAAAGGTACCCTAAACGCAGAAACTAAAGGCTAAATGTTTCCCCTGAAGAAAGGATATCTACTTCCATCATTTATGCTCCCAATATTCCAGTGGTTTTAGCCTATGTAAAAAGAGAGCAAAATAGTACTATATGCCTGCAGATTTAAAAAGGAACAATCCTGTGCATGTTTGGTTTCATTGCTGCTTTAAGCAGGGCTTTATTCCATAGCTGAGGCCAGGCTTGCATTCACTCTTCAGCCCTGTCAGGCCTGAAGCTCATGGTCATGATGCTACGCCAGAGCTTCTGAGTATGGGATAATAGGCGGTTTTTGCTACATGTTCTTCTCAGGCAATTCAGTAAGGCACAGCCACAGGAGAAAGAGTGAATATAACTTTAACAGTTCCACATTCTAACAAAGAACAATTGGGAAAAACAACTTGAAAATTCAATTCTTCTTGTAATAGTACATAAAAACATGAATGCCCCTAACTATTTTTTAAATGAACAAACCCTTGACAGTAGACGTTGAAGGACTACTTGGAAAAATAAAATAGGATTTTTAAATTAATGGATACACATTCCTAAACTGGAAGTTTCAATGTTATTAAATATCAATTCTCCCCATACTAATACATATATATGTAATAAACTCTAAAAAATAATATTTCAAGTGGATTTAAAAATAGATGTTACTAAGATGACTTGAAAGTTTACATGTAAATGAACTAGAGTGGCCAACGTAAATTTTCAAAGAATAACAGAATTGGAGGACACATGTGATGTAACTTCAATATTCTAGCTACAACTACCTCAATCAAATCAGCAAGCCCATAACGAAACAGTAGACACACAGCGGAGGAATGGAACAGAAAGTCTGCATATAGTCCCACAGTCTATGGCCCAGCTTTTTGTTTAAAATATACAGCAATTCTTACCATCAGCAGAAAAGAGCAAAGAAGTCCTGAGTTTTTCAGAGAAATGGTTGGGACTACAACACATTCTACTGAGCAAGGCAAGGCAAGCCAAGGCAAGAACCTCTGCTCTGAGGTTCCTAGCTTTATATATTCAGATGTGAGTAGATAACCTTGAGGAACTACAGAAAACATTAACATAAAAAGAGGGAGAGGCAGATACAGGGAATCTAAGGGGGCTCTAAATTGGGAGCAAAAGATAAATACAGAAGAAGGAGGGAGGAGGGTAAAATAACAGTAAGAATGTCTGAAAAAGTCATAATCATTTAAATGAATCTTTCTCGTCTGGGCTGACAATGCTTCCCCAAGAGCCATAGACTAACAAAAATTATATCACCAGGCAGGAGAAACCCTCTTTTAAGTTGTTGGTTATGGACTCCTAAAACATTAGGAGTCTCCAAGAGACTCCTAAAACATTAAAGATTATTCTTATTATTCTCAGTGAACTGTCACAGACTGAAGGTAAGTCCTATGCTGAAGACACCATGGACTTCTGTACAGGGCCCAGAGGATCTGTGCTGAACCTAACATGAAAGCCTCCATTCTGAGGACTAGCTTCCTGGTACCAGAAGGAGTAGCTATGTACATTTTCAAAGGAAGGAACTAACCAATAGTCCTTCCCAGCTATGGCACCTATGCACCACAACAATGAGCAACGTGGCATTGAACTCTTCGGGTTCAGGAGTGGCACACGTACCTTGGCAGGTGCCATCAGTTCTCTAATTGGACTTAGGACCAATTCGACAAGAAGGATATCTTGTCTCATACTGGAATCTTGAGCAGCTACCCAAAGCAAGGGAGGTCACGGATCTGGAAAAGAATCTACAACCTTCACCTTATGGAACCAGCACAACCCGTAACTACATTCTAAACATGTGTCCTTACACCCACCGATATCTGGACTTCTCTCCCCTCATCAAGGAAACTACTCTCAGCATCAGAAATAGACCATCATAAACAACCACAACTCATCACAGTACAGAGTGTGGAATCCAGTCCCAAATGATACATCTATAAAACAACTCTGGCAAATAAGACTTAGGGATCATGGCGAAGGAGGGGATGTAAAGACTGTAAGAGCCAGAGGAACAGGGAGCTTTCTCTGAGACTGCATCTCCTACAAAAAGTACACCCTTGAAGTTTCAAGGCTATGACTGTCTAAAGATGACCTAAACAAGGATGGCAGCAATAAACATGCTAATGACGAAGGAGGAAGACTCAAGAAGCCCCAAGCCCATACAAAGAGCTACAGGCAACTAAACAATGCTGAGAGCAGGAGAAATAGTCTTCTTCATGGAAGATCACACAGATTGGTTAACCAACACCAACTGGTCATTTCTGAAAACACATACATGCAGGTAAGATAATGAACTGAGTCAGGTTGTTTTATACACTTAGAGGAAAAATCGAATAATTTAATACATATGATATGACAGTAGAAGAGGCCCAGAGGAATGCTCAGAGCTCTTACTGCATTTCCAGGGGTCTAAGACCTCCATTTCTAGTACCAAGACAAGAGGGTCACAACTGCCTCTACCTCCTGAAATCCAGCATTCTCTTCTGGTGTCTGAGCACACCAGCACTCACACACATATACACCCAACACACACACACACCAACAAACACACATGACATACCCCCAACACACACCATACACACACACACACACACACACACACAGATAGAAAAAGAGAGAGAGAGAATTAAAAGTAAAATAAATCTTTTATAAAAAGAAGCAGAAGGAAGAACTAAAGAGGCGAAGGCAACTCTTCCGGCGATAGGGAAGGTCCAAGGGAGAAGGCATTAGGGGAGGGAAAGAGAGAAGAACAAAGTATGATAGATATGAAGACTTCATGAGGAAGCACGTTGCTTTGTAGGCTAATTTTAAAAACTGAAAATGTATTTCAGGAAAACAAAACCCCACAGTTTTAAAGAAATAACAAAATGCCTTATTCTTGGAGCATGAGAATGTCCTAACCAACTCTCATGAGCTCAACCTCGCACCATGCACAGTCTCACAGAGGAGTAACGCATAAGAGGAGGTAAAAGCTGCAAAAGCTTTCAAAAGCTGCAGCTCTTATATTAGTGCTGCCTCCTCTCCTGATGGTCAGGAAAAGCCCTTCGTGGTTAACGTCCTTGAGGCCTACAGGAGGCTGTTCACAGGACATAGGACACTAAATCCCAGGCCGTCTCCCTGTGCATATGTCCTAATGCTGGGTCTGCACCCTCAGAACCCACCTTTATGTAACATCCTCACCATCATCCTCACCACCTCGGTGGGCTTCTCTAGAAGGTCATAGGGTGAAACACCCTACAAAAAAAATCAGGTCTACCATTAATCTGGGACAGAAAAAAAAAATGGTCACCTTATCCCACAAATACTCCAGCCACTTCACAGATGTTCATAAAAATATGTAAAATCCACAAAACAGACGCCACTGGGCTCATAGCTCTTCTCTGGGAAAGTCCCATTATCCCTCTGGAGTTCTTGCCTTGCTCAGTAGACTTTGGCTTTATTCACTGTGTCTTTCAACTAAATGTTTTCCATCTAGAAGCTAAGAACTAAGAGATCTCTCTAACAAAAGCCTTTTGCTTTCCTGGCTCAGGGAGAGGGCACATTGGGAGTTATCCCCAATGTTCACCGAATCCTCTTTTGCCCTTTCACTTCTATGTGCTTATTGGCTTTGCAATTACCAAGGGGTGACTCATTGTTATCAGAGCTGCTGGCCCAGCCTCAAGCCTGGCTCTGCCTGGCTCCCTCCAGTTATCTGTTCATTTCAAAAGAAAACTGATAAAACACATAAAATTAAAAGATGACTGTATTACAGTTCAACCACAACTGGGGAGTAAGCCCTATCTTAGCAGGTTAGCCCCTTCCCTGTATAGTATTATAATTTATAGAAAAGATACAGCAAAGGAAAAACATGCATGTGTACAATCA